GATTTACGTTTACACTGCACCATTATTTTGAGATAACTAGCATTATTTCGAAATAACAATGCAAGCATCTACACAGCCATTCTGTTATTTCAAAATAACAGATAGCTTATTCTGAAATCTGTAAACCTCATTCTACAAAGAATAATGCCTATTCCATAATAGCTATTTTGAAATAAGGCATGTGTAGACACTCTGCTGCTGCTATTTCAAAATAGAATGGCCCTGGTGGGGGGCTAAGTTATTCCTCCCCAGTGCCTCCTGGGGCTTTAAATCGAGATAGAACGTCTATATTAGGGGAGCCTGCCTCATACTAATTTGCAGGAAGGTTTAAATGTCATGGTGGTGTTGTGAAGAGAGGATATTTCTATATGTCCCAGAGTGTATCCTCACACAGAAATTATACCACTGCTACTGGGGCTATTCAAACCCATTCTGGTGTTTCCTGGGATTGTAGTTAGAGAGTAGCTAATCTTAGTCTTATCATGGAGTTGCATGACAATATTGAATAATAGTAGATTTGGTCATAATCTTCAAACATAACAATATGACCTAGTAAGTGTAATTGAATTCATCTGTTGATGAAAATATGCTCAAATAATTTTGGTGTGTCTGTTATTTAGGAACCTTATACTTTTGTGTTGTATTTTCCTTTAATAAGGAAATAGAAATACATAGATTTTCTTGATTTAAAAAAAAAATGTAATCTGTTTATATTTGTAGGCAAAAATAAAACATAGTTACACGTCCAAGCGCCCTTTGAACTATTTTTGAAGAACTTGAAAAGAGACTTATTTGGGTAGTTTCTTTACAATATAGGTTGAACCTCTAAAAATCAGGACTCTTTGGTCCAGCAACGTCCGATGGCCCAGAGTCGGGCAGCAGGAGGGCTTTCAGCTGAGGAGTCTGGCCAAAGCCGGCAGCCCTGCCTGTGCCTGTGCTGCCAGGGCCAGGAGTCAAGCCAGAGACAGCAGCTCAGCCGGGTCCAGCAGCACCTGCAGCTGGTCCAACAGCAGCCTGACTGGGGCCAGCGACAGCCTCAGCCATATCAGGTCCACCCTCAGCCATAGCGGGTCCAGCCTCAATCATAGCAGGTCCAGCCTCAGCCTGCCAGGGCTGGCAGGGCCAGAGGTGGCCTCCACAAGGCTGAAGGTAGCCGCAGCAGGGCCAGAGGCAGAAACAGCAGGGCTGACAGTCCATCCAGGGCCAGGATCCTAGCCATGGCTGGCAGCCCAAACAGAGCAACTGGTCAGGAGCCCAGCTGGGGTCAGCAGCCTAAGTTAGACGGACAACAGTGGCCAGTCCAGGAGGCCAGCGGTCAAGGGTGACAGCTGGAGCTGGGAGTGGAGTTGGAGAGGGGGGCGAAATTGATCTCCCTTAGTCTAGCAAATTCCCTCATTCGGGACCAGTTAGGTCCTGATGGTGCCAGATCAGAGAGATCCAACCTGTACAAAAATGTAACACTTGATATATAATTGAGTATCAGAGAGGTAGCCGTGTTAGTCTGAATCTGCAAAAGCGGCAAGGAGTCCTGTGGCACCTTATAGACTAACCGAAGTGTAACACCGGTTAGTCTATAAGGTGCCACAGGACTCCTTGCCGCTTTTGATATATAAACAGACTCTTTTTGTGATCTTAATCAAATCATTTTAAGATCTTTTTTCTCTTCATAAAGACTAGCTGGCTCTATTCATATTGTTGTGAGGATAAGTTAGTTAATATTTGTAAAGGACTTTTGCAGCTGAAATACTTTATATTATATAAGTACCATTGTTAATGATCCCAGATAGCACCAGACAAACATGATGATATATATAAAAATCTGAAATATCTGAAATAATGTTTGTGCACCAAGAATATGCATAGCATTGTATAAAACAGTGTTTCCCAACCAGGGTTCCGCAGAACCCTGGGGTTCCGCAGACCATCATCAGGGGTTCCGCGAGAAATTATGGAATAAATAAATAAAAGTAATTTTTCTTACAATGTAAGCTGACACACACACACACACACAGCTCTTTACAAATAACTTTTCTTGACAATAATTTAGCAGTAATTGAATTGCGCTCCTCACTGTCAACTTTTTCTGGCCAAGCAAACGTTTTCATAGGTAGGGGTTCCTCGGGATAGGAAAAATTATTTTGGGGATCCTCCATGGGAAAAAGGTTGGGAGTCACTGGTATATAATATAGAAACATGCATGCTCCATTCCCCCAAGGAACATACATATAATATTATATCTATGATCTAGATTTGCTTGCCAAACCATTTTCCTAGCCTCTTATTTAGTGGTAAAACAGAAATATACTAAAATGTCCATTACATCTGTGCCTTCAGTCAAAAGTAAGAATATATTTCTCTCTGCATTGCATAACATAGATCCTTTTATCCAAACAAAAGCACTCAATATGTGAGAAAAGTCTCTGAATC